CACGCATCCTGCCAGTCGTGGATTATAATTTGTAAACAATAGACATAGTCACACGATGTGGTAGCAGTTTACAAACAATAAGTTAATTTTGTAAAATTAGCACCTCTTTGTCTGTCGTAAGTAAATACTTTGACATCGACACAGTCTTTAGATTGAAAGCTAAAATTCTTTCAAAATCAATTCCATCCCGATATAACATGGGCAAAGGCTTTTTAAGCGGAGTTCACGATCAGTTTAAACTACTCAAGAAAAATAATGTGTTTATTGCGTGATTGGGTAAAATACATTTGAACTTTTATCATCGCGAATCATGTAAAAACTCGTCTTTCAAGACTTCTTTTACCTTTTAAAAATTGCTAATCACCTCTTTCGAAAACCATCATGCAGTTTTCATCTGAAATCCATACCAGCCCATCATGCTACGACATCTCTTTACTTCCGCAATGTAGATTTTATGATCACCACCATTCAGAAAACTTCGGGTTCTGGCGGCATTACCATGAGGCATTCTGATTGGTTGATGGCGTTTTTGACCCAACGGGTCAATATTTTTTGCAGAAAGCTATGAATAATTATTATATGGAATAAAAAATAAACCTTCCTTGTACTGTACAATTCAAATCTGAAGAAGCAGTGTTCATTTCCAGAAAAAACCTTTCTCTGTGTCTTTCCCTCATCATGGTCGAACTACCCTAGATCTGTCAAACACGTGTCAAACTAATTGTTTACAGTGGTATACTACAAGTAGTATCCTTATTACAGTATGGTACATTGTAACATAAAATCTATATCACCTCGTAGTATGCATAGTCTAAGGTCAAATTCGGCTGTGTATCAATAATGTTGATGTTTTATTATTTTACAGTGAATGAACTTCAAGCAGAAGGTCAACATGCCATTGACTCACCTACGTCATCATTAATTTTAGCCGATATATCACCAGATGCATATAATATGGGTAAGTATCACCCTTTTTAAAGCGTTTATATTTTAAGAAAATGGTTGCTATTTATAATGCTGTGCATTTATCTCTTCTAGATGAAAATGAAGAGAGATCCATGATTGAAGCCGAATCTCGAGATGATCCCAAACTAAAAGAACTGATCACCGTAAGTATGTACGTACGTCTGTACGTTCTAAGCTCAATTCTACTTGTGTAGAAACCCAAAAAGAATTGTAATTTCACCAAGACTGGGTGGTAGTTGAACATTTGAATAAGGATATTTAATTTTGATTTTTTTATGAAAAGATTATTCAATAGAATTTAAACAAAATGGTTTTTGACAAAGTGTGGTGTAGACCAGCATCGTATTCTTTGGATTTTAAATTTAATATATTTAGCTATCGGTGACATAACCAGAAATAAACCCCAGCTTAATAATTAACTCTTATACAGTAATATTGTCTATTGTATTTGATCTTTAAAAATTCTCTAATATAGTATTTGCTCTATTAGAAGTGCATCTGTTCAGTCTAAACATGAAAAAAATTACCGGTATATTCAATATCTTAAATATACTTCAATATCTAATTTACATTTACTTGTGCTTCACTTATCATCCACCTTCAAACTCAAGACACTGCAAATCAGACTTTTTTGACATTTTACAGAATGAAATATCCAAATTTTCAAAAAAAGGCAACATTATTCTACTCGGAGATCTTAACAGTAGAACAGGCACACTACCTGATTATGTTGATAATGATAATAATAGATTTACACCATTACCTAATTCTTACTTAGATGATGACATATCAGAACCAACAGTTCGTAATAACAGGGACACATCCATTAATGCACATGGCAAAGCATTATTAGAATTATGTAAAAATTGTAACATCAGAATTCTAAATGGAAGAATGCCCGGAGATTCCAGTGGCAATTTTACATGCT